AACTAAGCTTTTCCACTAGATAAGGTTAACAAAAAATATTTTTGACAAATAAACAAGTTTGACGAAAAGTATAAAAATAGTTAATACACCAATAATATAACAAATATAACAAAATATTTTAAACGAAAAAATGTTAAAAATAATGATTTTTTTGAAATAAAAAAAATTAAGTAAAAGAACATAAATTTAAAGAATAGCAGTGATAGACAATACTACGAAAAATTTATGAAAATCTTGCGCAATGACACCTCGCTAAATAATTTCTCTCCTTGCAACATGTAAGCAGTCTAAATTTGGATATATTGGTTTCATTTTATTCTTTGTAAATGGACTATATAGAGGACTCCAAATACTAATGTTTAATTACATTTGACCAATAAAATACATTAAACAAAAGCTCAAATAGGTTACTTGGAAAACCTAATTTATATCTACTGAGAAAAAATAAAGTAAATGTTTTGCGACTTCTTAGTATAGTTAAACTAAAATTAACATTAGCAAAAGTAAATAGTTACATTTTAAAATATATTACTATTGTTAGAAAAGTATATAATTTCTAAAATAAATATTAGAATAAAGACTTCAAATTGTTGTAATATAATTAAGCATGTTGATACTACTTTTAAATAAAAATAAATTATATTTTAAAAATAAAATTTTGTTATTAGTTTATTTAATCGCCTGCCCGTAGAGCGGGTTTACCCTAGTTATTAATATAGCAGCTAGTATTACATTTAGCTAATAAATTATTTTTTACATGCTATTAAAAGTGACAATCTAATGTTAAATTTGGCAGTTATATAACGTGGTTTCATATCATGTTTTATAGATTGTTCAACATTAATAGCACTATTATATGTGATTTATTATTTGTCTTTAGTATGTGTTATGTTTATAGACGTCTAAATTAAAGATATAACAGATAAATAAATGGTTATATATTCTTTGATAATATAACAATGTCTCATATATTAATCTAAAATATCAATGCAAATATAAAGTGAAATTTATGCTATTATTTAAGGTAGCAGGTTATCAAAGAATCTTAAATAGTAACTAGATTTTGAACCCGCACATCTATGCGGGTATTTTTTCATTTTATAAAAATATTACAAAATCTTTCAAATATATATGATTTACATTCTATTTTTATATATTGTATAATTGTATAATCTTATAATTTTAATTAGTTTTATATAATATATTGTTGTAAGTTTTAAAATAAAAAAATATTCATATATAATTTTTTATATAATGTATTTGTTGTGAATTAAAAAAATATATGTTAACATTTTTTTTATAAAAATATTATATGATTTAAAAACTTTAATATGTTTTAGAAGTGAGTGATATTTATTTTTATTTGAATAAAAGAAAAAATTTAAAATAAAATATATTCATTTACCAATTTAATATATTTTATATTCATTTCACATAGCATTTTATTTTAACATAATATAGAATATAACTTAATTATAAAATATAAAACTTGTATTTTTAATTAACATTAATATAGATATTTATATATATTAATCATGAAATCAAATAATGCATATTTTATAAAAAATATTTAAACTTCTTACTAAGATCTTGTTAATATTTTCTCAAAACATTTGTTACTAATATCTTATTAATTATTAAAATATTCATCCAATTATATATATTTGATTGATTAATATAAATAATTAAATATGTCATATTAATGAGATGGTCCAACATGACTTTTTGTAATAGATATAAATGGTACTTTTTTTTAATAGAGAATATTAAAAATGCATCTAAATGTACGATAAAAAATGTTATATGCTATTAAATATGTTACCAGACTAAAATGAATTATAAAGCTAATCCAAAATTATACTGAAAATTGTGCATGGCTAAAATATTTATTGTATCAAATTAAATTGTTGGAAACTCTCAATATAATATTTAGCGAGTAAAAACTATTTTTAACAAATTAAATATAAAAATACAGTTAAAACTTTTAGAATTTTCTGTTAATTGATTCATAGCGGTAGTAGATCGTTTTATCAGATCAAATCCCTTGAGATTTATGTTCTGACAACATCTTCTCAAATTAAATTCCTCGATGTTTAACAAAGCAATTCATTGGTTACCATAATAAGAAAATTCAAACCGGTTAGCATAATATATACAACAATTTTGTGACTTAGACATGTTAACCATTTCACAACCTATTTAAACCAAATCTAGTAATCGTCCTTATCGTCTAACAATACCATATCCAGGTCATGTACTTTGTTCTCCCATCATATAGTCTAATGAAATGCATCCAACATGTGTATCCATCATGTGGGCGATGATAATAAGATCATTTCATAAAAGGTATAAAAACTAGATATGTCTGTCTAAGGGTATCATTATCGGTGGTCCCATAGCGTTATCCCTTAGCGGAAAAATCCCTTAACTTTTAACTAAAAACGCTAAGGGACTTTACGGATGTCCCTTAGCGTTTTTAATTAAAAGTTAAGGGATTTTTACGCTAAGGAACAACGCTAAGGAACCACCGATAATGTTGCTCTAAGAGAATGAAAAATATGTTGCAAAAGCCTCAGAGGACCCCACCTTGATACAAATCTTTATCAATATACAAACTAAACTTTGTTTCTCCTCGATCCAAACCTAAATCAACCATTGGAGCTCCGATTTACGAAGCAGTGGAGTGGGGAGAGATTTTTGTGATGAAATATGCGGTTTTTCAAAACAACATATCATTCGTCTTCTCTTTGGGCATGTTCTTCTTCTATATCCATTGTTTAACATGAAATCTGAGGGTGTTCCAAAAATACATGAAATCTGAGGATTTTTCAAACTAAATGAAAAGGAATGATGATTAGAAATTAGGAGAGGATTCAGAAAAACAGAGAGATAAGTTTGGGTTTATCTTGACCTCCGTTGTTCTCCATTATTTTGATTTTTAAAACGAGAGTTTGATAGTGATTATTGTGAAAATATGATAATAGGAGATAAGGAAATAGTTCAAACAAAGAGAAATATACCTATTTTTGAATTTTGAAAGCGTAGATAGATTTATCGTTTTTATAAAAATGGAGATATTGTTTCTGAAGAAAAAGAACAAATATAATGGAAGATAAATATAAGTAATGGAAGATTTGGTACGAGTAGATGATATAGTGTAATAGGGGTAGTAATGTCCTAGATTTTATGCAAACAGTGAATTTTTGTATTCTCCTAATTATGAGATTTAGTTTGAGTAGGAGCTGCATAAATACTATTTTTTCTGATATAAAATGATATTTTCTGTGGAAAAAGAAAAATTTGCAGACTCATCTTCGGGCCAATTTCCAAATAAAGAGTTTGAAAACCAAACATATTGCAGCAATAGTGCAATAGCAAACATACTGCAGAAATAGTGCAATAGCCATCCGACGAAGATATCCCCTATATATTAATTGAGAAACATTTGAAAAGTTGCAAACTTAAGTTTTTATTAATTAAAAAATAACCTTATTTTATGTGGCACCTCTCTATACATTTTATTTCAGTTTAAAATGATTCTATAATATCTTATATAAATCGTAGTTTTAAAACAATGCACGTTGATCTCATATAAGACATATCAAACTAAATAAAATATCAAACTAAATAAAATATATATTATTTTCTTAAATAAAACCTACGGAATTACCTAATGTGATTAAGATATATATGACTATTAATTATTTTAAATAATAAAGATTTGTTAACAATATGTATACTTTATATCATTATTTTAATTTTTTATTATTAAAATAAATTACACAACTACACTAATCATATAATAAAAATATAGATTTTTTAATATATGTTGTATTTTGAAATTTTCAAAACGAATATAAATTACTAAAACTATTAAAAATCTCACATAAACTTTTGTGATCAAGTTCTAGTTTTTTTCTATAATAAATTACAATGATTAAAAAATCATATGAACAAATAATTTTATTTTAATAGGTGTTTATGTTAACATATATATATATATATATATATATCATATCATATGAATAAATAAGTTTATTTTAAACATAATTATAATTTAAAATTTAACTCAATTTTTTATAAAATTTTTGTTATTTAAAAATAATTTTCAAAAATATAATTTTCTGATATTATTAGACAAATAAATAAATTATATTAAATTAGTTTTCAAACTTTATATATTCTAAATGCAAATATTCTACCAACTGCTTGTTAAGAAAACATTAGGATACTTGATAATGCTCTACCAGTTAAGTCTTGTGACACTCCGTTTATTTTTATCACTCGAACACTGAAAAGTGAAAACATATATGAACTGTACCCATTAAATTCTAAGTTTTGATCTACATTTCTAATCACAATTGTTTATGATCTTACGTATAGATAATTATTTAAAAATTCCAAATACATATAAAAACAATCATATGTAAAGTTTAAATTTGTCAATACTAAATTTTATATTTTAATTACATATATTCACCTTGCGCAAGATGTATGTCTTATCTTAGTATATTTATGAAGGTACATTACTCTCATATTGGGCTATAAATATTTTACATAAGACATTGCTGGCTTTCATATTTTAAAAACTAGGGGTGTGCCGGCGCTACGCGCCGGATTCATATGTGTTATTCGAGAATAAATTTATAAATTATTTTATGGATTTTGTAAAGTTATTATGTTCAAAATTTTGGTTTGAAATACGAAAATTAAATGAAGTTGTAATTTTTACTTCCAGTAATGGTTTTAGTTTTAGTTTCTTTTTTTTTATAATTTCTCCCGTTCCATTTTTTTAATTTGTTTGACTAATTCCTCTTATATGAACTTGTGTTTTTTGTATTTATTTATTGAATGATAAGAAATAAAGATTTATTAAAATGATGAATAACATAGTAAAGCCAAGAATGTAACATATATAATAAATTGAAATTTGAACATAAGAAATCAATCATGTGAAGGGAGGTTCCAATTATACCACCAACATCAACGACTGATGACAATCATTCGAAGCCGTTGTAAGCCTCTAGAATCTTCTTCATCACAATGGTAGAGTGGCTCGACATTCCATTATTAAACACATTTGCAAATCACTGATATTTCCCGTGATAAATGAAGGTTGACATACCATATCAGCTTATCGAATGGAATCCCTCCTTCAAGAACTGCATCCTTCAAATGGTACCTACATACAGTTTGAGATTGTTATATCAACTATTAAAACCCACATGTTAAGTAGTTAAATAGGCTTTATAAAGTCAATATGTTAATAATTAGGGTTTTCTATTTCTTTAAAGGATATTTTATTAGTGTTTAGCATTTACCAGTTCTCCATGAGGACCTTGTCCTGCTTCAAAAGGCAGTGAGTGGAAAGAGAGACACCATCATCATTATCAGTCAAGTATTTGCAAACAGTGTCAAGTCCGTAGAGACTCTACACCACTTTCTGGTAATTTACGTACAGAGCAAGTCAGTATGGAGTGTGAAGCAAGCAACCGGAGGATCCGATCAAGCATGACGTGAGCATCAGGGTTGTTGGTTGGGAGATGGGAAGCTAACTTTGAAGGAGACATCTGAGCACCAGAGAAGCCATCGTTTTTGGCCATGATCTCGAGCAAGTCAAGCTCTATGGCTGCTTTCATAACCATGGGAAGCACGGACGCACTGCTAAGCTGCATGGGCTAGAGGCTGGCCTCCTCGTCGGTGGAAATTTTTGTTATTGATCCCATGATGTTCTAAGAAGTATTTTTCTTAACTTTTTTAGATTAATGTATAAGAAAATGTTTTTGATATGAAAATTTAAAGTATATGATTTGTTAGAGCACTCGCAGCGATGATACCCATTGGAATCCTTAGTTTTTTGATTTTTTAATTATTATTATTATTTTTAGATAAAAAATAAAATAAATATCGATCAATCGTGGACTGACACATGTTATAGGAGCCCGCAAATAATGCAAGGATTCACTAAAAAAAATTCTTATTTAGAGATTTTAAAGATTGAATAATTAACTTTTGGTGGGATTTAGTGATTATTTAATTATTTCTTTAATTCTTTTTATATTGGAAAAGGTGGGTCTTGATTTAAGGAAGGTTAAAGGAAAGAACCTCTATAAAACAAACCATATTAGTGCAATCGTCAAAAAGGTTTAATTCAACCCCTCCGTATATGGCCGTATTGATCTTAATTGCAGAATTTTGAATTTACAAAACCATCGTACATTGATTTCAGACCCATAAATTACAGCCACCCCACCCTTGATCTTGCTTTAGAAATGTGTATTATATTTCGGTTGTATCCCTCCCTATATATATTTTTTGTGAAAGCTGTTATCTACTATCATGCTCCTGTTTGTTTCAATCTTGTTAACCAGATATCGATAATGCATGCTACACTCAGTAACAAATGAAGCTTTTATCAATAATTAGTTATGTAGAAGTTGTTAGCTGATGTGATTGTCGGAGTCAGGATAAAGCATGAATATTCGGGAAACTATCAACCAACGAATTTGTTTCTTTTTCAACATGTAGATGAAATATTTCGACAATTCAACAAATTAAGGAAACATATGAAATTTACGAAATCATGATGTGAACTCGGTTACAGTTGGACGGTGTTATCCAATAGTGTTTCTTATCAAACTTTATTGTACATAAAAGTTCAGGAGGTCATTTTTCCTATTTTCCTTTACAAATATTTGATTTTATTAAATAACGATTTATCATTAAGAAAGTTCTTTTTTGTGACATTTGTCTAGAACATGTTAGTTTAATCTAGTCAGTCCCTAAAGATAGTCATTTTTGAACATGTAAACGCTTATTTATAAAGAAAACAGAAACAACTTGAATCGATTTGGATTTATGTTTGATAAATACCAATTTCATATACTACCTTCAAGGGAAAAACCTATTGAATATTAAATTGAGTGAATGCTTTGACGACGGTTCTACTTAAAAAAAAAATGCATTTGTGGAACTCAGTTACGGACCGTATCAAACATAAATTTGTGGAAAGAATTTTGACGAAGGCAATTTTTACCAAAAGAAGAAAAACAATCTATATAATAATGATTCACTTTTGAAGTTCCTAAGGCTATTCACGTCAGCAGCCGAGTGGGTCCCGCACCTGTGTTATTCGGGGAAAAAAAACGCATAAGACTTTTTAACATTGAATGTTATCAATGAGTGATGAAATGGTCCAGTGGTGTAAGTTGATGATGAGAAGTTGGTACCGTGAGTGCGCGGGTTCGAAACGCAGTGCTTGCATGTAATTTTTTTTTAATTTGGGTTTTTCGGGATACCTAAAAGTTTAGGGAGATTCAGAATGACTTTTTATGCTGGTTGTTGGGATACAAAATGGCTTAAGGATTTGAAACTTTATGAGACCATCTTAGATACTTTTATAAGAAAGGTTATCATGTTCTAACCTCCAATATCATTTCAATTCAGTTATAATCATCAAATAAAATAAAAACATATTTTTTAATAATAAATATTTACCCCGAACCATTCAGATCGACCATAAATCTGATATACATCACAATTAAAAAAAATATATATATATACAACATAATTTCAGAAAGAAAATTACACTAATAAACACATGTCCTTTTTTGTCTTGTCTCCATTAAATTATTTTTTTTACATGAAAGCACTAATAACAGTAATGCTCGATAAAATCACTAATAAAGAGAATGCTCGATAAAATCACTACGAAGATAAAATATGAAAATATCAATCCATATGAATTCGATATTTATTCTTTTATCAGACTAATCAACTTGTGTGACTTCGAATGTTTCATTCATCACCACTATAGATAAGCCAGATAAACAAAATGTTTAAAAAAATAGCAAAGTCTCATACACAAAACTACACAACATATTAACAACGTATCCAACCCCGCGCTTGCGCGGGGACTATGCATCTAGTAAAATATATTGTATTCATGTTTTGACCTATGCTCATCATTGTTTATATTTTGCCGATTATTAAAGTCTACAGAAAGTGCATTGTAGAGTGAGGAAATATTTTGAAGGGAGCTATAATATCAGGGATAGCGGAGCTTAAGTATTGTTACCTAAGGGCAGAAGAGACATGTGAAAGAAGAAATCCCTTGCTGTAGCTTTGTTGAACATTTCGCGCATCCAATATAACATCATCCTTTATCTGTCTAAATACAGTGACTTTAGCGGTACACAGAAACTCAATAATCTGTTATAAGTCAGAGACAGTTACAATTAGAAGTGACAAATGCGAGAGTAACATGAGTGTTGTAAATTTGACATGAGGTTCAGATGTGATAAAATATTGGTTTAACTCAGATACAGTGTGTGGTTCTATTTTCTGGGCGTGAAGCAACTTTGGTGAAGAGGATGTCTGCTCGGAGCCATCCCCAATCAATCTAAAGAGGTTTAATGGGGTAGCTTAGTAATCTGTTAATTAAAAATAGAAACACTTACTTTTCATAGTTTTCTTTTCCGGCAGCTGTGTCAGTATCAAAGTAGAGATGGAATCCAGATGTCCCGTTGAGGGATAACCGGCCTTCATATTAGGGTGTATGATGTCTTACAAATAGCAAAGTAGATCTCTGTTAATAGAGTGTATGATGAGTTAGCGATAGAAGGGACCAAGAAGATTAATATAATACCAGGTAAAGGTTTGTTTGTATTTGGTAATGCCAATAACTGGTCGTGGCTCCGGAGTCGGAACATATCAGTTGGGATCGGCTTTTCTAACTCCGTTAACGCTTCACCTGCCAAAACGTCTTTGCGTTATCAAGGAGAAGCGGAAGGAAAAAATGGAATGAAAAAAATACCACATCAAATAATAATCTACCTGAAGCTATCTTTGGATTGATGCTTGTTATCAGGGAGCGATATTTATAGGTGAACTACATACGGTTTGTCAGAAAGCGAAGAGTTTCCCAGAAAACTTGAAGAGAGAGGCGTGAAATGATCTGCTGTAAACTCGAAATAAATGACAAACTTTAGAAGATGGGAGGCGTTTCGGTTATGAATTGATTTTGTGGTTTCTCTGATATCGCAGAGAAAGAGCTTCGATGGGAAGACGGGGAAGAAGAAACCTAATTCAGTACGGGCCTAAATAATAACTTAGAGTTGGACTTTCAATGTGTTCCAAGTCCAGTTCGATTTACAATCAACCAACCAACCAACCAACCAGTGACACGTGTCAAAAATCCCCCATAGCAAAAAGAAGTGACGTGGACGATTGTGGGGGCACATAAGTTAACTTTATTATTATAGATCTATAGAGAAGTGGACCGCTCCATTTAATTGACTCTGGATTTATTTTTTCTTTGCTGCTGGGCCAAATTATATTTAATGAGAAAAAAATAATTTATTTACTAATCAAAAATGTTTGTAATGTTTTTGTTTCCGTCGAATTATTCATATAATAATAATTATTAGTTTTATTTTATACTTTGGAAAATAAATTACTCACATAAAATTATATACCTGGTTTCATTATTACTATAATTTTAATTTATTACTAGGGTTTGTCCTCCCTACGGGTGGGTGTGTTTGCGCTAAAATTATTTATATTGAAATATATTTTATTCTTATAAAACATTTGAAAATTTACTTTATATTGAAGTAAAAAATATAATATATTTTATTCTAATATCAAATTGTAAGTTTTATTAAATTTTGTTAGTTTGAGTTGAAAAAATGCTAACATTAATTTTTGTTAAAGTAGACACAAAATTTTAAATTAAAAAGGAGAAAAATGTAATGATGTATATTTTTTTCCTATTTGATTTCTTTTCCTATTATATATACTTGAAGAAAATCTAAACTAAAATAACTAATATTTTCTTATTTCTAAGAGTATCAGATTTTAATATTATTACAATAAGAAAATGCTTCATGATAAGAAATTAATACATCCACTTCCAAGCTAAATCAATTGAAAATCAAAATTTAAAGGTTATATTTTAAAGTAATATATTCATAGTTGCAATAATTTCATAAATAAGAATTAGTATTTATTATGTAACACCAAATGATATTTTATAATATATGTTTGTTTCAGTTTATATTAGATTTTTAATTATAATGAATTTATCTTTTAATTTTTAGTGTTTTACTAATTATGTTTTTTTAAAGATTATTTTAGCTTTTGTTGAAATTTTTTTAATAAAGATATTTGTTGGAAATTTTGCTCATGTTATTTGAAAATATTTGTTTTTGATTACAATCTTGAGAATTGGTAGACTTATAAGATCATGAGAGGGATGGCTTTAAATTCTAGTTTAGACTCTTAGATTGCTTTAAAAATGGAAGAAAGAGGAGGGTGTTAGTCTGCAATAATCTAATTGGATTTTTGGGTGTCATCGCTACAGGTTAAAGCTCATATATTGGATGTATCAAGTAGTACAACAAAGCAAAGAACTCATTTGTACCACACAAACAATTTCACTTTTTCTGCATTTTGTATACATAAGCGTTGTAGGCTCTTTAGTTGCCTTAATATGACACTCACCGCAGCCTATATAATACCACCCAGAACCGTGCACATCATCAATATTTTCGTGCACTCAAACCAAGAAAAACCAAAAATGTTTTAAAAATTCAATAAGAAATTTAAACTATCTTATTGAATGTGTCAGACATTGGAACTGTAATACCTTTGCAGCTGCCAGCTTCATATAGAAGAAGAATTCTCCTAGGATCACTGTCTTAGTCTTAGTGATCACCTCTGCATTAACTATGTTGGCAACATCTAAGTTTGAGTTCAAACATTACAATAGTGGAGTACTTCAAATTATATTTGAATACATGAAATTTTAAACTTTACCAACTGAGATAGTACCGGATTTCTTGGACATCTCTGTCCATAAATACCTGAGAATGCGTCATAGAAGATAAAGATAAGGTGCATATAAAAGAATCAATGTCATAATACAGAAACAAAATTATAATAAAATGAAATCAAGAGAATCTATATTATAATGATTCAGTTTAAAGGCTCCTTAAGGTGTCCACATAGGCAGATTGTGGGTCCCACATTTTTATATTAAAATAGATAGTTGTTTTAAAATGGCTACAAACAAAGAATATCAATTTAGTCAAGTGGTCTAAGACCCCATGTTTGGTCTCCAATGACATGGGTTCAATTCCCACTGCTCTCATGCATCAACCAATTAATGTCATCATCATAAAAATATTTTTTAAACACACATAGTCTTGGTAAGATGGTTACAAACAATGAAATACGCTTTAGCCAAGTGGTATAAGATGTCTTATTAAGTATGCAAGATTGTGGGTTCAAACAACGCAGCTATCATGTATTTTTGATTTTTTTTTTATTTAGGTTATTATCATATGGGCTTTTTGTTTATAAGGTTCTTATGTTTTTTTTTTGGGCTTATTGTTTTAAAGATCAAAATAGTTGTATAAACCCTAAACCTTAATAAGTTCAAACCCAAAATAGTTAAAAATGAATCCAAAACGAATAATAAAACAAAAAACAAAAAAAACAAGTCTCGCGTGGTTGCTTACGCGGTTAAAACTATCTTATTATAATATAGCTCAACCCAAAAATAATAAAAAATAAATCCAAAAACGAACAGACAAAAAAAAAACAAAAAAAAAAGTGAATTCCACACGGGTGCATACGTGGATGGCTTAATGAGGGTTGAATAATATAGATTAGGAGCTCAAAAAGTCAAATCATTGCACATATTTT